GCAGGCTTGATCCCCAGTAGGGGGCGTGCAGGAGGCAGCTGATCAATGATTCTCTTTCATCATTGATGTTTCTGTCTCTCCTCCTCTCCCTTCCTCTCTGAAATGAATAAAAATATATTAAAAAAAAAAACTCAATGGGAAAAGTATCCTTGGGTGAGGATTAACAAAAAACAAACAATAAAAATAAGAAAGAAGTAATGTACAGGGTTTTGTGGTGAGTGAGCAAGAAAGGTGAGAGGCATGGAGTGAGGAATGGCTATTAGAAAAAAAAACAAGGGCCAAAGGTGCTGCAACTGAGGGGTTAGGATTTTAAACACCTACATACCTGGAAGATTTTGTGTCCTACTGTAAAAACAAGCAGATGCATGATAAAACAAAAACTACATGTGCTCATAACTAACCATGTAGAAAATTCATAAAAATAGAAAGAAAAAAAATTATTCCCATCTCATCTCCCAGAGGTAACCAATGCTAATAGTATTTTTCCTTCAAGCTTCTTTCCTCTGCTTACTTTTTTAAAAAAATTATTTTTATTGATTTCAGAGAGGAAGGGAGAGGGAGAGAGAGACAGAAACATCAATGATGAGAGAGAATCATTGATTGGCTGCCTTCCACATGCCCCACACTGAGGACTGAGCCCACAACCCAGGCATGTACCCTGACTAGGATTCGAACCATGACCTCCTGGTTTATAGGTTGACGCTCAATCACTGAGCCATACCAACTGGGCCTCTGCTTACTTTTTATAAGGTTGAAATAATAAATCTTCAATATACACAATTTAATTAAATTGTGTGAATAAGCAATACATTCACACAGTTCAAAACCTAAAAAGTATAATATGCCATCAGTTTGGCTCCTTTCTCCTATTATCTAAAGGATATGGTATATTTTAAAAACTTGGTTTTCAGATTTTTGTCTCATAAAAAGTAACTCTAATGAAGAGAAATAAAATGCAACCACTGTACTATATAGTCTTAACTCCTAAGTTGCTTTGTAAAAGTCAGACATTGGAGAAAGTCTTGACATTATTAAACCAGCAATGAGTGTTGAAATACCAAAACATGATCTTTAGGACAGACTAAGATTAGAGCAGCAATATGGGCATGAGACAAATTTGGTCAAAAAAAGTAGAAGAAAGAGAAATAGATAGATAGATAGATAAAGAGAGGAAAGAAAAAAAGAGAGGAAGAAAAGGAGAAAAGGAAAAGAAAGAGAAAGAAAAAGAAAGAAAGAGAGAGAAAGGAAGGACGGGAGGGAGGGAGGGAGGGAGGGAAGGAGGAAGAGCTGGAGAAACCAACGACCAAGTACTGCAGCTGGCACAGAGAATGTGTGCTCCAACGATCTTCACTCAATTTCAGAGGTAAAGATCACAGCCAGATAATTTAGACATGGACTGAAAGGTGAATAGTTGGCCTCTACCCCTGCCAGAAAATGGACTTTAATGAAATAAATTAGGAGGTAATTATTAGAATAAAATAATTTTATACTTATACCCCTAATTTGACATTTTGTCCAAAAAAAACAAACAAAACCCAAACACTCCGTTATTCTCACTTACTAGTATGTTTTAATCTTTCATTTATTAGATCTTTTCATTTCCACAAAAATATATGCCTTCCTTAAATAAATCAAAAATAGGTGAAATGGCATTAATTCTATAAAAATATCTAATTAATACTTAATTTTTCATCATTATGTACAATATCAGTAGAGAAAAATGCATAGAACATAAATGTAAATTTCAATGAAATACTACGAGGAGAACACTTGTATGATCATCATGGACATTAAGAAATGTTTCCAGACCCCAGAAACCTCCTTTTCTGCCTAGTAACATTCCTTACCTTTTCCCACAAAGCAATCACTCTCCTAACTCTGTGACAATCCTTTGTTTTTCTAATTATAGTTTAACCAGTTAACGCACATCTCCAAACTCTATAGTTTAATATTGCCTATTTTTTCCTTTACATTTACAGAAATAATACAACATATTTTTTCATAACTGACTTAATTGCTCAATATTACTTATGAGATTGATATTATAGCATGTAGGTGTTTATTTTTATTTTTAAAAATATATTTTATTGAGTTTTTATAGAGAGAAACATCGATGAGAGAGAAACATCGATCAGCTACCTCCCGCACACCCCCTACTGGGTATGTGCCTGCAACCAAGATAAGTGCCCTTGACAGAAATCGAACCTGGGACCCTTCAGTCCACAGGCCGACGCTCTATCCACTGAGCCAAATCGGTTAGGGTAGGTGTAGTTTCTCTTCATTGCTGTGTAAGTACTTTATTTTATAAATGTATCACATTATGTTTTACTATTATAGGCATTTGGGTTGTTTCCAATTTTGCTCTATTGTTAGTAAATACTGCTGCTACAAGTATATTTGTACATATCTTGATATAAACGCATACACATTTTTGTTGGATATATGCAAAGTTCTGGACATACCTGCACATAGGTTTATATATATCCAGCTTTCACAGATTCTTTAGTGAAGTCAATGCTTTTGCAGACTTTCCTATTGAGTTTTTTTTCTTTTTTAATGGACATTTAAAAAAACATATTCTAGATGTATGAATAGTTTTTGTTTTGTTTTTAAAGTTGATCCCCCACCCCTATCAGTGGCAAAAGAATGAAAAAATTCAAATACCTAGTCAGAACCAAAGACCACGTACACAGACAGGCATACACCATTGGTATGCAAACTTACCCTGTTCAGAGTCTTCCAACAGAACCCCTCTTTTAACCAGCTCTTCTCTCGGTTTTCGCATAGATATTTTTCGCTCTAAAACTAACATTAAATTGGAAAACAGCACTCAGAAATGTGGCAGTTAAAGGTTAACTTTAAGCATTCTAACTCCACAGGTAAAAGTATAAAGTGGTTCAATTTTCTAGTCTCTGGAAAGAAAAGAACAGGAAAACTACCTTTATAATAAAAAACTTAATTTTTTTCATATGCTGTGTTATTAGGAAAATAGTATTTCCAAAAAGGAATTATCCTTATGTAATTTTATCTTTTTTAATTAAAATTTCAACAATAAGGTATTTATGAATATACTTTCTCTGGGAGGAAGTGGCCAGAGTAGAAAAAAAGAAGCATCTACGATTTGCTATAGTTTAGAAACTCCATTTACCACTTGATAAACTTTAGTCCCATCAATATTTCAACTTGGGAATGAGGCTATGATATAGAAGGCTTAGTGAGTAACCATTTGGTTTTTAATTCTAAAGGATTCAATTCCCTCTTCAAATAGGGGGTTATCAAAGACTGGGGAAGGAATGAGAAGTTAGGTAACTTCCAAAATAAGGACCTCTTTAACTCAGAACACATATCTAAATCTGTATTTTTTCACATATATATATTTTTATTGTTGGTAGTATTACAGATGTCTCCCATTTCCCTCCCCCCTGTATCCCCCTTCTCCCAGTCCCTCCCCCTCTCTCCCCAGGTCATCACCACCCTATTGCCCATGTCCATGGGCTATGCATACAAGTATGTAAATTTTAATATCTCACCTTCTGAGGTCTCTTTGAATTTATCACTACTTTTTTTTTTCCGCCATTTCCAGGGCTTGAAGATCTTGCCAAAGCCTGAGAACTTGCTCTTCCTTTTGGTGGGAGGCGTCATGTCTCCTCCTGCTTCCACACTGTCCATGATCATGCCTGGGTCGGCGGTGGGCTGGCCTGCTTCTTCTGTTGCATGGTGAGAGGGAAGAGAATAGCCAATTCGTTATTTCGGCATAATCTTGACGTTGTCCCTGCCCCTTTCTTCCTGTTGTAGTTGGAAAGGATCACAGCAATGATAAACAATCATGCAGAGACGGACTCCTTGACATCACATAGACACCAAACATCAAAATCCATGACAGATAAACTACTGAGGAGGAAAACAAACCAAACCAAGTTGACATCATTTTAGGACAAAAATTCAATGAGATGATTATAACCAGCTCAAAATCTCTTAAAGGCACACACACAAATGTGGATGGCTTCCCAATAGGCATGAGATCTTGCCCCATGAAGCCTACTGTTGTTAGTCTTCTCATTCTTTTGGCATGGGGAAGGTCTTCCCCAGCTAACATACTATCTCCCCTGTCACTGAAGCAGGGAATTTCATCATTTGTGAGTGAGTCATTATTCTTTGTTAAACACTACCCTCTCCCTATCCTCCTCTTTCAGGATATAAATAGTTCAGAGAGGGGGTGACACATTAAGTGTTAACACCTTTCTTACAACTGTTTTTCAGATTGTATCCTGCCTTCACAAGACGCTAGGGAGTTCTGGAGCACTGTAAGGGGACTAAGGTCAGGGGGCAGGGGCATAGAAGGATAGTGGTTTAAAATGGAAGGATTTTTATTTTTATTTTTGTTGGGGGGGAAAGTAGAGGTGAGGTGAAATTCCAGTTTGCTTATCACAATATTGTCTTAGGGACAACTCTGATTTTAAGGATTTCACGAAACATAACTGACATGATAAATGTACAGGATTGAAATGAAAGACCATAAATAAGTCCCTCATAATGACTATACATGCAGGGTTTAGTTAGGTAGCTTTAGTGGCAGAGAAAGGAGCAGCCAAGACTGGGCCAAGAATAATACTTCTAAAAAGCAGGAAGGCAACAAAAAAAAGCAGGAAGGCAACACAATATAGTTTTGCACTCCACCTACTGTCCCAGGGTTCTCTGGAGAAGTCTAGAGGAGAAGAAAAAAAGAGAGTCATGTGGAATAACAGTCCTGAAATTAAAGTGGAACCTTTACTTTATAGAAATATATCAAGGACCACATACTATGTAATAAGTTAATATGTTTATTGTAAAAAAAATTTCCATCTGGAGTAAGTAACACTTTTTGGGGGGGATATAAAAGGACATAACTTCACTAAAACTCATTTTTAATACTGTAGATATATTTTCATAAGAGAAAATATACAATCAATATGCATTAATTTTTTAAAAAACAGTATCAAAATCAGTATTTTTCTAATCGATAGATGTGAGTCTAGGAAAGTCCACTGATGCAGGTCAGATTTCCATAACCGTAATTACCAGAGTGACTATAGCAATGGCTGCTGATGCATTATTTTGATGTATCCAGATGACAGGGCCAAATAGGGTCCTGGTCACTGAAGTACAGCAGATCAAGAGGACGGAGGACAGGGACTCTTTTCTTCCCAGCTGCATGATTTAGTTATGGGCATCCTGGGTCTCAACTACTTTAACTCCCATATGAAATGCAGTGGAATCTGATTGCAAAAGTGGACCATATTTTAAAAAGTGTCGTTGCCAGAGACAGTGTCCTGTCATAACAATTCCCCCTCAATGGTACCCTGAGATGAACCCCCAAGAGTGAACACATGGTATTGCTTTCAAGAGTTAGTGCTTTAATTAAGACATTATTCTCCTAATTATGGAATGTCAATCAGACCTCAACATAGCATAATATTTAACATATGTTAATGTAACCCTTTCAGAATAGAGCTAAGTAACATAAACTTATCATTCTCAAATTGTAACCTTACTTGCAGAGGGAAGGAGGGACTAACATTTTAAATATCCTAACTGAAAAAACTTCTAAAAGACAATAGGAAAATGCTTGTTTACTTAAGAGTAATGGGGTAGATTTTAAAAAAGACAACCCAACCACAAAAAAAAAACACACAAAACACACACACACACACACACACACAAAAAAACCCCAGACTAATAATACTTAAAAAAAAGGTTATTAGTAGTATTTGATGCTTTTACAAAGGAAAAAAACCACGAAAGCTTTAGAAATGTTGGATGCTAATATCTTCACAAAAAAGTCCCTGTCTGTAAATCCTTAACTGAAATATAGCCAATCTAGCCTGCTCCCACTGTCTTCTCAAATATCTAATCATTTCTAAAGTAGAACTTAGTTCAATCCAATTTAATTCTTCATTATATTGAACAATATATTTATGTCTCCCTTTTCTCTCAAATATTAAAACAATAAAATCATGATATCCTTTTGAATATATTTATGCCTATTAGCATATGAACTAAAAACAAGTGCTGTTTATATAAAAAAGTACAGCGTGTATGGAAAATACCAATAGCTTATGATTAAAAAAATGAATGCGCCAAAACCGGTTTGGCTCAGTGGATAGAGCGTCAGCCTGCGGACTGAAAGGTCCCAGGTTCAATTCCAGTCAAGGGCATGTACCTGGGTTGCGGGCACATCCCCAGTGGGAGATGTGCAGGAGGCGGCTGATCGATGTTTCTCTCTCATCGATGTTTCTAACTCTCTTTCTCTCTCCCTTCCTCTCTGTAAAAAATAAAAAATATATATATATAAAAAATGAATGTGTCCACTATTACATCTATTGCTAAGAAGAGCCCTCCTCTTTCTTTATGTAAAGAAAGTCATTGAGCCCTAGCTGGTTTGGCTCAGTGGTTAGAGTGTTGGCCTGTGGACTGAAGAGTCCTGGGTTCACTTCCAGTCAAGGGCACATGCCCGAGTTGCAGGCTCAATCCTCAGTAGGTGGCAGCCAATCAATGATTCTCTCTCATCGTTGATGTTTCTCTCTCTCTCTCCTCTCCCTTCTTCTCTGAAATCAATAAAAAATATATTTCTTAAAAAGTCACTGAATATAGTCAGTAAAAAGAGTATTTTCTCCTTTGATGCTTTATGCAAATGTACTTAATTTTAATGTTTATATAACTTTTACAAGTGGGTACGCCTCTTGCCTCATGCAGTGGGGTTCAGTCATACCCAATCCTGAACTAGTTATTAGTCCAAATGTATTCATTCATATTCTTATAGTCTCCTATTCTTTTCACTCCACCTCCCTCTTCTCCCTATGACAAGCAGAACATTATTTCAGTGACTCCCAAATCTGTTCAAATACTTTGGAATCAGCCCAGTTACCCTTTCAAAATACAGAATCTCTGGAAGGTGGGACCTAGAAATCTGTTTTCTTTTCTTTTAAATATATTTTTATTGCTTTCAGAGAGGAAGGGAGAAGGAGAGATAGAAATATCAATGATGAGAGAGAATCATTGATTGGCTGCCTCCTGCATGCCCCCTACTGGGGATCTAGCCCACAACCTGGGCATGTATCCTCGACTAGAATTGAACCCGAGACCCTTCAGTCTGCAGGTTGATTATCTATCCACTGAGCCAAACTGGCCAGGACTAGAAATCTGTTTTTAAAAGTCTTCACAGGTGCCCCACGGGTGTGGCTCAGTGGATTGAGCATCATCCTGTGCACCGAAAGGTAACCTGTTAGAGTCCAGGTCGCCGGCCTGATCCCCAATAGGGGAGGGGATGCAGGAGGCATCTGATTGATGTTTCTCTCTCACATTGATGTTTCCCTCCCTCTCTTGCTAAAATCAATAAAACATATTTTTAAAAATATCTTCACAAGTGATTCTTATGATCACACAGGTTTGTTAAACCCAATCCCAGATTGTAATCTAGAAACCTGGTACATGTTAAAAGAGACAGAGACAAATGTTCTCTGCAAGCCTGTAACCTAATACACTGTTGATGGAAAATGAACGAGAAAATCATGGCATCATTCCAGTGTTTCTTACTCATATACAATATTCCTACAGCATTGTGAGGGGCGCCCTAAGTTTCTTAGTTTCAGATATAGTTTAAATTAAAAATAAACAATATAGTTCTGCTGGTGTGGCTCAGTTGGTTGGGTGTTGTCCCTTGCACCAAAAGGTTGCTGACTGGATTCCCGGTTAGGGCACATGCCCAGATTTCCAGCTTGATCCCAGGTACAACACAAGCAGGTTTCACTCTCACATCAATGTCTCTTTCTCTTCTCTCTCTCTCCCTTCCTTTCTCTCTAAAAATCAATAAACACAAAAAATCAATATAAAAGTTTGCAGTTATTTTAACATAGTATGTCCCATGTGCACTTGGAAAGAAAGTGTACTGTGCAATTACTGAGTGAGTGTTCTATACATGCCAATTAGGTCAAGTTGGGTAATCATCGCGCATAAATAATATCCTTCTGATTTGTTGTCAGCTTACTCTATCAGTTACTGAGAGAAGTATGTTAACATCTTTACCAATGAAAGTGGATTTGTCTCTTCTTCTTTTTAGTTCTATTAATTTTTGCTTGATATACTTTAAAGCTATATACAAATTTAGAGTTATATCTTCCTGTTGAATAGATCCATTTATCATGAAATGCCCCATTATCACTCTAATAACACTTTTGCCTTTTGTTTTTCTATTTAGTTTGACAATTGTTGTCTTTTAGAGGTTAATCCATTTATATAGTTAATGTATTTACTGACACAATTGGGCTTAAGTCTACCATTTTGCTCTATTTTCTATTTGTCTTGCTCTGTGCATTCATTGTTTTAAAATTGATTTTAGAGAGAGGAAGGGGAGAGAAAGGAGTGGAGAGAGAGAGAGGGAGGGAGAGAGAGAGAACATTAATTTGTTGTTCCATTTATTTATGCATTCACTGATTGCTTCTTTGGCATATTGGACACTGAGCATATGGGATGATGCTCTAATAAACTGATTTACTCGGTCAGGGCCTGTTCATTCTTAACTGGTTACCATCTTCATTAAGTTAGTATGTTTATTACTTATTGCAAGAATTTTACAACATTTCAACTCTATTTGCTCTTTGTGTAAATAGTCATGTCTTACTACATATACATAACAATAAAATAAATTATTGTTGTTTTAACAAACAATATTATTTTATATTTCCTACATATTTGCTTTTTCAGATGCTCTTCATTTCTTTCTGCAATTCTATGTTTCCAACTAGGATAATTTCAGTTAATCATTTTTGAAGGATATCTGTACTGGGTATGATATTTTCAGTTGAGAGTTGAGGTTTTTTTGTTTATTTAACTTCAGCACTTCATACTGTCATTTGGTTGGCTCTCACCCGCCCCCCGCCCCTGGACTGCTTTTCTTTGTATGCTTCATTTTTTAGATGCTTTCTATTTGCACATAGCATAAGTGATAGAAATGGGATGCAGATCTTTATGTTGTTGATAACATACATGGGAAAGAAATGTGAAGTCATACTATTAGGCATTTTTGGTGGAGACTAGTCTGGGAGGGCTCTGGAAACTCAACTTTTAGCCATTATTCAAGAGCAACACCTGTAACTGATTAAAATAAAGTGTTGATAAAATTCTTCCCACACATTTTTTGCTTAGGTAGGTGCCTCCTGAAAGAAAGTGTTCTCATGCATGAAAGATATTAGAAAAAATAATAATAAAGAAAGAGAAGCAGATTAATCATTCCTAATGAAATGGGAAAGAAGTAAATCATCTTTTCTTTTCACACTCAATCCATTATGCTGACACCAAAGGGAAATCACAAAAACTTGATTCTATCAAATGTCCTACATAGGAAGGGTAGGACCTTCAAATAACTAAATGACAGTGGGGAGGCAGCCAGGCAAGCCTTCCCTACTTAAATCCAAGAGTATTTTCAAGAAGGAAAGGTAGCAGACTGAAAGTAGACTAATGGTAAAATTCATAGGAAAGACCTACTTAGCAGTCTGCCTAAATCCAACTTTGAAGAGTCCATGAAACAGGTATTGGTCTCTCACTATTGAATTCCATTTGGGCATATCTTCTTTGTTATCTAAGTAGGTATTATTTATAACTAGAATAGTGGCTAGGGTCATGCACATTTTTTTTCAAAATTTTAATTCCAACTCTATATAAATTATATGA